TTTAAAAGTTCCTCAATATGGCCGACCTAGTTACGAAAATGGTAATTTTTTTTTAATGAAAAATAAGTTGGCGTTAGCGAATTCAGAAATTGATTTACTCTTTGGTTAACAATAACATTTTTCAGGATTGTCAAGTTGACGTTAAAGTTAGGTTATTAGGTGGTTGTCATAAATAAAAACATAGATTATTGAAATTATTTAATAAGAATAAAGGTATTTTACCGCAGATCCGAAGAGATTTAACTTAAAGGTATTTTATAAACTTTCTCAGTGAGAATATTAACTCCCCTATTTCTTATATTTCAGTTAAGGGGACGTAAGAACTATAGGAAGTAAATTTTTGTTTTCATGTTTTGACGATATCTGAGAGTTCCTAGAACTATCAAGATTATTGAATAATTATAGTTGTTTAATAAGTGAAATTAATAGAAGACTTGGAAATAGGATGATGCTTTTCATGTTGTAGTTGATAAATCACCCCATTTCTCTTAATTTTTTTTTTCAGTACAGTTAATCACAAATTAAATTGATGTGTGCAAAAACAGCTATATATTTTCAAACATCTTATTTAAATAGTTCTTTTATATACTATTAAACTGTATCAACTACAAAGTATTTAGCAAAAAATTATAAGGTAATAAATTTTGTATATATAATTTATGAAAATTTATAATATATAAAGATTAGAACACAATCCTCTGAAGGAAAAAGAAATACTCAAAAACTCATTAAATATACTTTATTAAAAATAACAACATACCAAAACATCCATGCAAACTGTAATAATCAGAACATTATCCACATTATACCTTTATTAAATTTGTGTCCACACTCCTGCCAGGAAATCCAGAAATGTTTGTTTAAATATTAACTTATTTTAAATTGCCAGAAACACATCAGAATATATCACAACCACAACTATAGGTTAATCTGTACTAAATTTTATACCGAGTAAGTGATGCGTTAACTAACAAGTATAGGATAAAAAACAATTATTAATATAGAGTGTACTATACAATGTCCTGCTTATTTATGAAATGACTTTCCCTTCAAATGTGAGGAATACCAGTAAAATAAAACATAATTTTTGGTTTAGTTTGGTGTTTGATATTCTACTACATCTATTACAAACCTTTTAAGTGCTTTTAGTGAGTAACTGTATTTTTTATTATTCTTTGTGTATCCTGTAAAGTAAAAAAAATATACCTATATTTCAAGAAATATAAAAACAATGCAATAGATATCAAACAGATTCAAAAAAACTACTTACAATTATTGTACATAATTATATATTTCAAGTGTTATTTAATGTTTGGTCCCATTACCAACATTACCTTATTTAGGTCTTCTCTAATAACTCAACTTTTAAACCTGTTTTAAACCTTTTTTATATTTTAAAACTGATTTACAACAATCTGTAATGCCCGCGCTGTTTCCTAAAATATAAGTTTTAAGCTATTTATAATCATATAGTACATATTACAAACCCGAAAATTACTGATACGAGGAAACTTCTCAAAATAATTAGAGACCTTTTTCCAAACATCTGGACTAATTTATTTTCACGAATTTGTGAACGAGTCAATGTTTTCTAATACGTTTTTAAGCGTTTTACACATTTTGAATATATTCCAGCCTATTCGTCAATTCTTGATCGGTGAAAAGATCATTTATAACTATATAATTAGTACCACAAAACACTTTACTTACTTTGACTAGTACTGCAGGTTGCAGGTTAAATAAAAGAACAAAATCAAGTAGAATTTGTTAATAAAAACTCAAAAAATAATGAAAATATTTAGAAAAAGGAACAGTAAACGTCAATGTCAGCCAAGTGTCACAGTTCAATTGGATTTACCACAGATTATCAATTTGAACGATTTGAAGTACAGTCGATTCCAGTTTAGAGATTTTCGTTTTTTAAGCCTCCCATACTGAAGTCCGCCATATTGGGAAGTTTTAAATGAATACAAGTATAGATACTAGGTTATTAATTTGGCTCACTGAAACTATATTTTAAGTAAATTTTCTAAAAAAATTAGGATCTTTTTTAATTAAGTTTGTTATATTTTAGGGTTTTTCTGCATTTACTTTAAGCGATATCGTTAGGCGGCATCTTACAGGTCGTACAGGGTCGTGTTGAGTCATTAATGATTAAATATGTGTGTTATAATAACCTGACATCATGTTAATGTTAAGAATTAACCATGGTCGTAAGGAAGAGTTATAAATTAATGGTTACTAAATTCAATAATTTTTGTTTCAAGAATTATTTAAAAAATGTCTATACCTATGTGGCGGATTTATGTTTACAGTTATACAAATTTGCCTAACAAAGAAAAAAACGCTTAACGTTTCGGAAAGTTTATCTCTTTCCGTCGTCGGAAGCAAAAAAAAACACAAAGGAAGAAGAAAAAAACTATTTAAAATATTTAAACTCAACTATTCGAGAACACTTTACTTTTTTTCGCGTTTTTTTCTTTGTTAGGCAAATTTGTATAACTGTAAACATAACTTCTGACAAGCAGTATTTTCTTGCAGTGCAGTGGCGAAATACTCATAAAGGATTTTTTTGGAAAGAATTATTTAATTTTACAAATAAAACATATAAATTCAAATGAAATTTAACAGCCGGTAAGATGCAAACTGGTAGTAGAAAACAAAATTATTGAGCACAGTATCACAGTGATCCATAGAAAGATTTGAAAAGCCAAATAAACAGAACAGCGGCAATGTCAGGATGTCTGAGGCAAAATCGTATGGACAAACCCCTTCCCCATGCGAACAGACAGCAAAATTAAAATTATATAGCCCTGCATCAGACCAATAATGACACATGGCATAGAAATCCTGAAGGAAACAAACAAAACCAAAAGCATGATAAGAGTCGCTGAAATGAAGAACATAAGAACCATAATGGGGAAGACTAAAAGAAACAGAATTAGAAACAAAAATATCAGACAAGGTGGAATACAGGACGTAGTGAGATGGGGTAGGCAAAGAAAATGACAATGGTTTGCACACGTAAAACGCATGGAATAAAATACGCATAGCTCTTTAAGAGAAGCCCATGGCTTAGAGACAGCTGGGAAAACCTCCAAAAAGATGAAAAGACAATTGTAGTCTATCTCTCAAGAACTCCTACAGAGGCAACTTTAAAACAGATCGAGTAGATCTCAAATAAGTAGAAGAATTATAATTATAACCTGCTTATCCAAGAACTTTACATTAACCAGAGTAAATTTTGAAATAGGTGTTGAAAACCTGGTATCTAAACTAGCAGCTATCTTAGTAAACTGACATAAAGTTCCAATTTTAACTAGACTTTGTAGTGCGAGAGCTAGCAGCGTCGGGAAAACAAGTATTTTAAGACGTCTGGCTCTTTGATATATCTCTTATTGTGCTCTCTGGAACAGCGTGCACGCCGTCTGGCTGCTGATACACGTTGCGTTCACTACTGCGCATCCAAAGAAGCTCCTCTATTTTTTTACTTAAATTCTAGTATTGAATAAAAATCGAGCAAGTCCCCATTAGCTCGGCGCGTAGAGCTTTCGCCTATGAAGCGAAGGTCAGTGGTTCGATACTGGCTGGGGGTGCAACTTATTTTTTTTTTGTTTATATTCTGATTGTAAAGTAATAAATATTTGCTGACACTAATATTAAATAAAAATATTTAATTCAATTATATTATGTAATTAGATTGTAATAATTTAAACATAATGTCTAAAAATAAAACTAAAAATGTTGGCCATAATTATTTCTGCCCTCATTCATAAAAATATTTAATTCTTTTATAATTTCATTTTAAAGATTTAAACATAATATATAAAAATAAACATTTTAATGCTTTATTAACGTAATTTCTGCCTGTCTTTCTTCAAAATATTTTTTTCAGCTGTTGTTTATTATTTTAATAATCATTTTAATAATACTTTTATTTAACAAATTGTTATCTAAAAGCTACACAAGTTTATTTTCAGTTCAGTTTGTTAAGATAACGATGGAAAACAAAATTATCTGATTAAATTAAATAAAATAAAATAGTTATACTTTTTAAACAAGATTGATTAATGTTAATGTGTAGAAAATGCGCAAATCTATGGGTAGAATGTTTAATTACATAAAAAACTAGCAAAGTAATGTGAAAAAAAAACGCATGATTGTATCTCCACTCATAAACGAGAGAAATCCCAAAAAACGCACGAAAATGAGACATCCTGTACCCATGTGATGCGCAGTGGTGAACGCAACATGAACGCCGGGGCGCGGCAGCCAGACCATCCTAAACCTATCTAATAATTAATTACCACAATAATCCTTCAAAACAAATGAAAGTATCAAATTCTACTTATATACACTATGGATCATAAACCCATAAATGCCATCCGTTCTGGTGATAAAAAAAAGAAATATTCAATACTTTACTTTACTATCAGAATATAAACTAAAAAAAAATAAAAAAAAATTGCACCCCCACCAGCCGGTATCGAACCACAGACCTTCGTTTCATAGGCGAAAGCTCTACGCGCCGAGCTAATGGAGTGTTACTCGGTTTTTATTCAATACTAGAATTTAAAGCGCTAAGTAAAAAAATATAGGATGTTCTTTGGATGTGCAGTAGTGAACGCAACGTGTATCGGCAGCCAGACAGCCTGCATGCTGTTCCAGAGAGCATAGTAAAAGATATATCAAAGAGCCAGACGTCTTAAAATACTTTCTCGAAAACGTTGCTAGCTCTTAGATTATTGTAAACAGTTTGCGTACTAACCAGTGAAATTGTAAACTAACTCTTGTTTACTGATATTTTGCAAGAATGATCGAATTTCTTTAAAACACCAGCACCCTTAGAGCTAGCTTCCAAAATTGCTGGTTAGTTTTCAAAGTATCTAAGTATCCATTTTGATAGTAACATACAGTTTAACTTTAGTTTTCTTTCTTAGTATCGATAATATCAGGAAACTTATTTCTGTTACAGGTTATCGACGTCAAAACCTTCCTTAATACACCTAATCCAACATACTTTAACCGAAATAAAGAAGATGAAGACCTAATCGCCTCCCCGTCATTATCGAGTTCTGTCTCCGATCGGAAACCAATCCATCCGCATCTAATACGCTTTTACGCGACAATGCAGTACATTCCCTCTTTCGTTTCTCGATCAATATATCTGCACGAGATTCATCAGCGTTAACACCAACATATCTCACGTCAAAATGCAGCGCTTTATCTCGTTACTGCTGATCCTCGCGATACACCAATCTAGTTCCTTCGTTCTCGACGGTTCTTCGAACTCTTACTCCCAGTTCCGAAAGTGGGGTGGTGGTACCAATGGAACTCTAGAATTTGAGTTTAAAACCGACCAACCAAACGGACTTTTACTCTACACAGATGACGGAGGAACTTATGATTTTTTCGAGATCAAACTCGTCGAAGGAGCATTAAGACTCCGATATAACCTCGGTGGTGGAGCTCAGATCATTACCGTAGGCAAAGAATTACATGACGGTCACTGGCACAAAGTTCAGGTGCAGAGACACGAAGAACGTACGATTTTGACGGTGGATGGGGTGTCGCAGATGCGTACTTCCAGAGGGAAGGAGTTCAATTTCGGAAAGTTTGAGACGAATTCGGACGTGTATATCGGGGGTATGCCGAAATGGTACAACAAGAAGTTGGCGTTGTTGGCGTTGCCCAGTGTGATCTTCGAGCCGAGGTTCATGGGGGCGGTGAGGAATCTGATTTATCCGGATCAGGAGGCGGGAACTGCAAGGAGACAGGAGACTAGGCCTAAGGATCACCGGGTAAGTTCATATATATTTTTTAATTTTATGTTTAAGAATTTTTATGCTGTCCCTCCGGATATAACTTTGATTATAGTCTGTCCAACGACAAGATGTGTCGTTTTAATTTCATAGTAGTTTATTTTATTTTATAAAGAAATAAGTTGGTACAATTGGAACGCATAGCAGGAAATCTTTGAATAAGAAGACTAAGGAAGGAGCATATCAAAAATCTTAGGTACACAGCGATGGGCCTCAAATATGGCCGACTTAAATTCCGGTTTATCAGTGTCGTTCTAATTTTATTTAAAAAATGTAAAACTATGATGTAGGGTAGACGTGAGGTAGACTCAATAATTTGTTGTTTTATGTTACGTTGTGAATAAATGTTGGTAGTTATTAAAATTGTTATAAAAATATATAATTCTAATAAAAATAGATTTTTTGTTTAAAATAAACAAAAATATAATAAGTATTTATTAACACAACAAAAAACAAAGTTATAATAAGTATTTATTAACACAAACATCCGATACGCTACTGAAGCAGGTTAGTCAAATTAACGTATCTAAATTCTTTGACATCTAATCTTTGACAAGTAATAAATAAAAATTAAAATGCAAGAAAAATATATAATTTAGTTAATTTAAGTGAATTTCATAAATGATCGGTTTACTACACGTATGTATATTATATAGTCACTTACTAGCGAAAAGTTGTTCCATTATTTCACTCAATTTTTTGCCGAGATCTACCGTACTACACAACCAACTATATTTTTCGATAAATCGCGATAGTGTCACTGTTAATTTAAGTTCTGCCACAATTTCCATCTGATTTACTACCTTTATGCAACTATCAGTAGAAGAATAAATAATAAATAACATAAAATAAAGCTCCGTAAAGACTGACAAATCCACAAAATTTCAAATCAAATTCAAATGTGTCAAATGAATCGTCAAACAGAACTGTCAAGGATCCCCACCCTAGAGTGCTTTTATGGCGCTTTTTCCGCCCACCATGCATGAATACATGGATAGCATTATGCTCCTTCCTTAGTCTTCTTATTCAAAGCAGGAAATTAATATATTTAAAGTTTGAGTGACCTTTAAAATAATGTAAAAAAACTATAAAACTACAGCATAAAACTGAAAAAATCTAATCGAGTTATTTTATTTAAATATATATTCGGTATATGTTAACACAAAACAAACAAGAACAGAACACCATATACCAAAAAATATAGAAAATAACTATTTCTTACTTTCAAGCTTCAGGAAACTTTCAGCATTTATTATTTATTTATCAATATAACTTATGTACAAATACAAATTTGTAATATTCCACAGGAATATATAAAACAGCATAAATAAAACAAACTATTTTATTAATAATAACACTTGCCGAATTTTATACCATAAAGGTTGATTAATTAACTTTAATCTTAATCTTTTTAAACCAGTACATTTTGACATTATTTTTCTGCAGTACAAAAGTCTATTATTTACCTATCGTGTGATGTCGTTATTTTACAGCTAGCCCAGTTTTTAGTATATGTTTAGAACGATCCTTGTACCACATACGAGATGCACTTATCTATGACGAGATGGTATGCAAACTTTATTGATGGTAACCTTAATGGTGTATAGACTTTCTGCTTGGACACCGAGTATTAATTATAAACTGTGCTCTGGGTCTACAGTTAATTTTCCCTCGATTTTTCTTCTTGACTTCAAAAGACACAACACACACAATAACACGAATCAAAATGCATCATCTTCCAAAACGCAGGGTATTTGACATAAGATGACACAAAATTATAACCTATAATTTGGCAAGACTTTGACAAACCTCAAAGATCTAAAGGCGAGTTCATATGCATCGGCTTCAGTTTGTCGTTCATCGTTCCTTCAAACCAATAAAATTGAAATATGATCTGTCATTTTTGAAATAAACAAATAAAACTGGTTAAAAACAACAAGAGACGACGCATGCCGGATTTGTATTTAAACCCATCCATAGTTAACTTAAAAAAACATTAGAAACTTTTTTTAGCAAAATAAATAGATTGGTATGGACGTCATCTGCTTTTCTTCTCTCATCGTCTGTCGAAATCTTACCTGAGAAAAAAAACTACTACTATACTAAAATTTCATAAAAAATAACCAATTATGTTTCTTTTTTTATTCAACTGTATAATATTACTTTAATATCTAATTTCTAGTTTACTCCTACTTCTATTGTGCGCTCTAGCATAAATTGCTTTCTATAATTTAAAGCAGATTCCGAGCCGGTGCACAAAAGAAATGAAAGAAGACGCTTAACAGAATAAATGTCGTTAGGGCGATAAGTAGCGAAAACGATTTAAAAAGAAATTTACTTAAAACGATTCAATTTGTTACCAAAAACGCTCCTGTACATTTTATTCCGTTGGCTAGCGTGGACGAATTAAGTATTTAAATTTAATCTCTTTTTGTCTCAATTTTTGTTTGTTTTATACCAAAAAAAAATGTTTCGATTAAAAGATGTAGGAACTTTTTAAACAGATTTTTTGAGTAAGTGTGATAAATCATGGCGTACTTGGTACACTGCAAATTTCGTTTTTGTGCTCAGTTTTTATTGCAGAAAACCCTGTCTTTTAATTTCCAGAATGCTCTTGAGGCGCTGCTAATTCTGTGCTTTCTGTGCTGAATTTTAGTATCGATATTGGCCTTTTCCGAAATTAAATTGCCGAGGTAATTGAATTCCGCTACATATTCCAATAGTTCTCCAATTTTTATAGCATTGTTATGATTTTCCGGGGGAGTGCACATGATTTTAGTTTTATCGACCGATATTTTTATTGTCAGCTTAAGTCACTTTACTCTGCTGCTCCTTTACTAGGTACTACTATGGTACCAACAAGGTATTAAGAGACCCAGAAGAAGGTCAAACCTAAGATGGGACCCTGATAATAGGAAATAAGCAGGGATAACTTGGGCCCACATAGCCAGCAATAGACAACAATAGGCGCAATTGGAAGGAGATTATCTAGGTCTGTAAGGAAGGCTACACGATACTCTTGAAATGATTGAATAAATTGAGAATTATAATGATAATAATTCTTTAGGCATTCCACACATTTAGTTAATATTTCAACCTTACAATTAAGAGGTCTGAAATTTAGGAAGTAAATAATTCTTTACAAGATACCAATTAACTTTATTGTACATTCATCTTGGGTTTTGATAATACCCTCTTTAGTTCATTACAACATCATCTCTAAATTTACTATGGATGAACACAAATAGTTAGAGCAAAAGGTAATACACATGTCTGATGGTTTTCCAACTAAAGATGAACTGTAATTTCATATTAAAGCAAATTTCTCGAGGCAATCTAATATGCGCATACTGAATAAATAAACCTTTATGAACATATTACATATATTCTGTATGTATGTTTAGACGAAGTAGAGAAGTTTTCGTTCAAATTAGTTTGTAATGTGTTTCAATGTGTGATTTTTTACACAAATTTACTGTTTCAACTAGGTTACACTGACGCTAGATTAAAACTTTTATGTTTCAAAAATTACGATTTTTTGAAAATTTTTTACTTACTATCTCGAAAATTAAGCTTCAAATTGAAAATATAATACATTA